ATGAAGAAGCCTCTAGACCTAAGGGACTATTACAGGCATGGTTTACCAACCAATTTCCACAAAAATTTAATACATACACACATATATAAAATGAAATTTATTAATAATTTGACATGCATGCATTTCTACAAATGAATTATCCTGGACGAAAATTGGAAGGACTTAAACCTTAAAAAATTAGACCCATAAACTTTCATTAAATCTTAAATCTTAAAAAAGAAATTGATCTATATTTACTCTATTTATCTCTCAAAGTGAGAGTTTAATTTTTATCGATGGAAAGTTTAAGGGTACAATTTTCTCACTTATGAAAGTTTAAGAAAGTTTAAAGGTTTAATTTTTACTATTGAAAAATTAGCTAAAGTTTGAGTATTTAATTTCTACCATTGAAAGTTCTAAAAGACAATTATAACAACCATCCTTTTTTTCAGTACAACATATCGAGATGGAGGATCGAACTCGCAACCTCTTGATTGGAAATATATGCGTTGAACTAGACTCGCTTTGATAACAACTATCCTATTTCATTGGTGGTTTATGCAATTTGCTAAACTATCCTATTTCATCGGTGGTTTATGCAATTTGCTATATTGATTCTTTTTAGTAGTTTAAAATCCTATTTTGCTATTAATCTTTTAAAATCCTATTAAAGGTAGTCAATTAAATAATCTCATAGAAAAATAAAAAGTTGTCAATAAAAAAATTGATCTGCCATAAATTATTATTTTATCAAATACATTTAAACACGTTGACATATTATTTAGAGATGTTATTTTAAAGAAATAAAGTATATTTGTGACAAATTGAACATCATGTGTTAATTAAGTTCAAGTAGTTCATGTATTACATTACGCGTATAAATATGTTAACAAAACAATTATTTAATTGGATATACAATTTTTTTTTTGTCAACAATTTTTTTATGGAATAATCTAATTGAAATTTTTAAATAGGCTAGAGATGAAATTTAAAATTTTAAAATATAATATTAAAGACAAAATAAAAGATGGCCTAAAGAGTAAAGATTAAGAAGAATGATTGTATATAAAAAAAAAAGAAGAAGAAGAAGAAGAAGAAGAATTATTGTATATCCAGCCTCTCAAATAAAATATGTAATATTATCTTCCATTAATAATACATGCACGACAGTGGATGCAATGGCATTGGCTTGTTTTTTGTTTTTTTCTAAAACTATAATGGAGTAGGTTGTAGATTATATAAAATATTAATGTAGATCTACTTTAGGGGCCAGAAAGGAAAACTTGTAACATGTTATTTTGAAACTAGAGGACTATATTTTTACTAAATTTAAATTATAAAAAGTAAAAATAGAAAACCGTGATCAAAAGTTCAAAATGCAACTTACATCTTTGAGGAGGTCATTCAGGACAATCAATGCCTCGGATTCCACAAAATTGATCTTATGATCGACTCCTGCCTTCTTGATAAATGGTAAACCAATTTCAAACGACTTTCTATCCACATCAATTGCTGTTATCTATAGTAAATAGACAAAAACAAAACAGTAAGATTATATTATAAATTTATCTGAACTTTTAAAGGTGTTTAACAAGTTCATAATGCTTTAAAGTTATATATAATTAGTCTCTGTAAAGTCTACTCAAAATTAACGTGTTCTTGAATAATATATATATAGGTAGTATGATATATAAAAAGTTAAACTGATGGAATTAATATAAGAATCTATTGAACATGAAATTAAAAATTTACAATAAATAAGATAAATCCGCAATTGAAAGTTAAAGTAACAATAAAACTTGAGAGACCAAGCGTATAATTTAATCTAAAAACAGAAATAAAAATAATGATAGCATGTAATTTTTTAACGAATATTAATTAGCTGGCGACGGCGATGGAGATTTGAGGGGAAATTAAGCCCTACCTGGCCATCGGCGGGCAGGGCAAGCGCAGTGGTGAGGAGTGAGTAGCCAGTGAATACACCGATCTCTATCGTTTTCTTAGCGTTCATCAGTTTAACAAGCATTGCTAGAAACAATCCTTGATCCGCCGGTACGCCCATCACGCTCCTGCAATGCAACACAGTCCCCAAATTACATTCTAAATTATTAAGAAGTCTCTTGGACGATTGTTTTCTTTTGTAATTAATCCTTCAGAATCAATTGAATTGACTCAAATCGACTGAATCCAACCAAATCGATCACATCAGAATCGAATGGAATCAACTGAAATCGGAAAAATCTAAATGCCTGGAGAAAAGCAGAAACGAACCGAGACTTGTCGAACTTTCCGACGGTGGTTTCTCTGAGTTCCTTCAACTGTTCATGCTCTCTCGGATAGGCGTTGGATTCCAGTATATACTGCAATCAAATACACGTTCTTTCAATTTCAACTAGGTCATTAACTTCATCCATTTTCTCGAACAGATTTTAATTAAATTTCAAGCATCGAGTTAATTGATCTGTAGCAGAAGCGCGGGAAATTAACGTAATTACGGCACAGCGCAGGGATATTGATTAGTACTCGGAATTAGAGTGAAATCAAGATTCAGATAGGAAAGAACCTGGAGAAGGGCGGGGCTTTGGAGGATGTTCTTATCGGGAAAATCGTTCGCCATGATCTGCACTGTAACGAACGAAACTTGGGTGCGTGCAATGAGCGTGAGCATTTCTTCCGGCGAAGTGGCGTTGTTTATTATATAGCAGCATATAAATTATGTAAAATTTTTACATTTTCCCTTCCAAAAAAATTATGTAAAATTACATTTTTAGCCCTTTGGATTTCAGAAAAGCTCGGCTTTACCCATACATCACTTTACCAATGGAAAACTACATGCTGCCGACAGATCAGTAAGATGGGAAATTAGAACCAATAACCTAAAAAAAGCTTTTACTTTCTAATCACCTAATCTTTCCGAATTTTCTTCTCTAACCTAAATCAATATTTTATTCAATTAAAAGAACAATAAAATTACAATGATATCCCTTCTCTCTTCCCTTTATCTCCCCCTCCTCCATTTATTTCTCTTCTATTTTCAAACTTCTCCGATTCCATTTTTTTTCCATATAATATCATATCTCACTCCCGTTTATTTCTTTATTTATTTTTACTCTCGTTTTTCTATTTTCTTTCTCTTCTCTTATTTTTTGATTTTGATTTTCGTCACTTTCTTTTCATTCAAACAGAGATTGAAATACAACTTTAATCTATAATGATTTTTTTTTATTTGCGTTCGATGAAATTAGAATGGGCATAAATCTTGAACTTGAATTCATATTGCATAAATCTCTTCCTCTTGATTTTTCTTTTTAATTTGATTTATGGTCAATGACTATTAATATCAAGCTTGAATCTCACCCGAGATTGCATAAATCTCGCCAAAAATTCATAAATCTCGCTTGAGACTCGTGAAAAATTGTCTCGGATTCGGGCAAAACTCATACGAGTTTGAAGAAAATACGTTTGAGATTCTTGTAAAACTCGGACAAGTTTGAAAAAACTTGCCTGAGAATCATGCAAAACTTGTACGAGTTCGAAGAAATCTTGTCCAAGTTATAAAATTTGTGGATTTACGAGAGAGTTTCAATAACTTGGGATGAATTTCGAACGAAGTTAAAATCATGATACAATATGCGCAATTTGTTCCAAAACAATGTTGTTTGGCTAGTTGGCTTCATATGCGAATTGACATCTCCAGGGGCATGGGTTCAATTCCAAAAAGGAACATGTATATAAAAATAAAATAATTATCACGGCTAAAAATGCTAAATGCAACTAGGAAAATAGATAAACTATAATAAATAATGGTCAATTTCATATAAATTTTCTTACAATTAGGTGGGAAAGTGGAAAATACAAAATTAAAGGAAAAAATAGAGAGCCAATGGAGAGGGAGGGGAGGCATATGCGTGATTCGTGAATGGGTTCCTCCTCCTTACTTGGCTAATCCGGATACGTATCAAATAGACAAATACTCTTGAGTTAATTTCATATTTATCATTTAATTTCTACTTCATGTTCTGCGGTAAAAAAAATATTAAAAGATTATTTGAACGACTCGACCAATATTTTAATTTTGTATACATTATCAACATTTTTAGGTGTAGAATGTGTTTTTAATATATTATAGTATATGAATGTTGCATACATTATCAATGCTGAGACATTGGCACTTGAACATCTTATAATTCAAGATTATACAAACTTCCACTTATATATATGTGACAAATAGGATATCAATGACAAGGACCAGTCATTCAATTATTAACATACATATTTATTATGCTAATATTTTTTTATTAAAATAATAATAAAATTTAATTTATTTTACTAATATACTATTAATAGTAAATATTTGTATTATGAAAGTTGATTTAATAAGAATAATTAAAATAAAATTACATTAACTAAATACGTTTTTTAGAATAGCCATCATTTAATATAAAATATTATTAAATCTTATTATTATAATGTTTAATAAAAATGAATTATATTTTAAAATTTGATTGATATTAATCAATAGCAATAAAGTAAAATTAAAAAATTAAAGATGAATGTATAATACTTTATAATAAAATCACATCAACTAATAGAAATAAAATGATATAAAATTTTGTTAAAGGATAAATTATTCATAGTATAAATAAAAAATAATTAATTAATTAAAAAAAGTCATGAATCTCATCAATGTATGAACGGCAAAGTAGTAAATTAATTATATATAAAAAATGCACCAACGTGTGAATACAATACACGACTTTCTTTTTTTTTTGTTTGAAAAAAATTACACATACTTAATAGAATAATAACTTGTAATGATATAAATGGTTCATGAAATTTGATCAGATGATATGAAATGAATTGTAAGTAAAAAAAATATTGGGTCTAAATTGAAACGGAATTTAAATCATAAGGATCCCAGTAAAACTTATAAAAAAAAACACAAAATTAGTAATTTAACAACGAGAATAAAAAACCTTCTAGTATTATAAGAAAGGAATAAAAAATCTAGCATGACAAACATAATACTTTTTTTTTTTTTTATACAATACAGACATGTACTCAGAGACTCATACACTGCTGAATAATCTTTGAATAATGGTAAAATCAATAGTTGATTTTAGGACAACCATACGTTTAAGTCATATTATTTAGTTTTTTAAAATTAGTTCAAATTACCCCTTTACAATTTAGAGGATGAATTAGGTTGAGAAAATGTTTATCATCTATTATTCAAATTTATAAGAAATTTGTTGATTTTTTTTACATGGTTTGTTATTAGATGACTCAATTTAGTTGATAAAGTTATTCAAATTTACTAAGTATCTTGACATTATCATCAACATAAATTTAGTTTTAACAGGAAGATTATGAGTCTGAATCGTCCCCAGTGATTTTACCTCAAGATATGAAACTAAATTAAAACTGAAAAAAAAGTTCGAGGCTAAATTGAAAACAAACATTGGGACCAATACACACAAATATATAGCCATGTTTTTTTTTTGGCTTTTAAAAATATATGGTACATTTTTTTTTTGTTTTCCATAAATTTCGAAATGCCACGAAACAGTGCACAAAGGAAAGACGATGGTGGGCCTTTAAAGCCCGGCCCAATATGAAGTCCATGTGGTTCAGGATTAGGGTTTCCCTTTTTACTATAAGATACTCGAAACTCTTCTTTCCGACTCTCTCGCTCGCTGGGGGACTCAAGTTGGTAGCAGAGGGGTGAAGAAGCATCAGCCGCCATGGTACTGTTCCACTTTACTATTTCGGTTTATTTTGATCCTCTGCTCGTCTGTGAAATGCTTCGGATTCTATAATCTTAGCAGGTCTTCTGATTTCGGATTTTTGTTTATGTTATTTTTTCAGGTCAAGTACTCAAGGGAGCCGGACAATTCTACCAAGTGTAAGTTCATTTTCATACTATCTTCTTGTTTGTATCAAATCGATTTTCGTCATGCTGTTCTTGTGCGTTTCAATATTTTTGAAGTTCCCGAGTTATGTTAGGAGTACTTAATCTAATACTTATTATTATTATTATTTTGTGCAGCCTGCAAAGCGCGGGGCTCTGACCTCAGAGTTCATTTTAAGGTAACACAGCAGCCTCATCTACCTTCTCTTTTCATTGTTCCCCGTGAATTCGGTTAGTTATCAGTCTGCTTCAAAGTGTTCACTTGGGTGCATTACTAAATCTGCTTTTGAAGTTAATTCTGTTACTGTTGAGACCTTTTTGTGTGTTGTAAGTCTGTTTACTGAGCTGTATCATTAGTAAATATTTTGTAGTTAATCTTTGGATTGCGAGTAATTCCATATACAATACATTTAATTATGCAGTAATCTAATCTGATGTCATGAATGTGATTATTAGCTGAGATTGCCTGTAACCCGATGAAAAAAGCAGGGCTCTGTTACCTATTTTGTAATAGTGCTCTTGTAAACGTCGTATCGTTATTGGGTGAACCTCTGTAGAACTAATTGCTGAAGGTTCAGTAAATGATGCGACATAATATTTGTAGCTTATTGTCATAATATATATTTTTTAGTTAATTTTTGGATTGATCGTAGTGCCGTATGGCATATACAATATTTTTAATTATGAACTAATGTAACTTGATGACGTGTATTTGATTACTATCTGAGACTTCCTGTAACCTGATGAAAAAAGCAGGGCTCTGTTGCCTATTTTGTGAATAGTGCTCTCGTAGACTTCAGGAAAACTGACTGTATCATTATTGGGTGAACCTCTGTAGAGCCAATTGCTGAAGGTTCAGTAAATGATGAAACATAATATTTGTAGCTTCTTGTCACTATTTATATGTATATTTATATTAAGAGAAGTTGATGGTCCTTGGAGCCTTACAAAGTTTTGGTTATGAGCCTTTTTTTGTTTGGCTGTAAGACGGAGCCTAAATGTTAATGATTAATGCTCTATAACTATTAGTTTGTTAATCATACTCAATTCTACATACTATGAAGAAACTGTTATAATTTAACGGCCTGCATGTATGATTTTATTAAACTGGCCTTGTTTGTAACCTGATGGAAAAAAGCAGGGTTCTGTTGCCTAATTTGTGAATAGTGCTCTTGTAAACTTCAGGAAAACTTAATGTATCATTATTGGGTGAACCTCTGTAGAGCTAATTGCTGAAGGTTCAGTAAATGATGCGACATAAATCTTTATAACTTCTTTCATGATTTATATGTAAGTTTATATTAAGAGAGATCGATGGTCCTTGGTGCCTTAAGAAGTTTTGTTTATGAGCCTTTTTTTTGTTTGGTTATAAGAACAAAGTGTAAATGTTAATGATTTACGCTCTATAAATATTATTTTGTAAATAATTTTGAATTCTACATACTATGAAGAAACTGTTGTACTTTTTTTTGGCCTGCATGTATGATTTTCTGAAAATGTCCTTGTTTGTAACCTGATGAAAAAAGCAGGGCTCTGTTGCCTCTTGTGAATAGGGCTCTCGTAAACTTCAGGGAAACTAAGTGCATTGTTATTGGGTGAACCTCTGTAGACCTAGTTGCTGAAGGTTCAGTAAATGGTGCTACATTATTAATATATAGCATATTGTTCTAAAAGATGATATATATACATAGAATAAGTGAATGAAGAAAAACTATTGTATTTAGAGCATTGTGGTTTTATTGCTGATGATGTTGGTACGAATGTTAATGTTAACATTTTATGTTTTCCAAGTCTTTGGTAGCTAATAATATTGCTTTCACAATATACCAAATACACTGCAATTCTATGTTTGGCCTCAATTAATCACACAACACGCACAGACACATGTATACATGCATGCATACATATATATATCCTGATTAAAAAGGCAGAGCTCTGTTATCTTTTGGGAACGCGGCTCACACATAATTCATGGATACTGAATGCATTGTTATTGGGTGAACCTCTGTAGAACTAGTTGCTATAGGTTCAGTTAATGCTTCTATACATGGATACATTATGGTTTATGTCTTCGAAGGTGGATCATGTAAATATAAGTTCATAAAAATTGTTTATCCTTGAGCGCATTTGTTTTGTGCAAGGCTTTATTTAGCATGAAAATATAAATGTTTTTGTCTCCACTTTAGAGTTGCGGATGCTCTTATAGTAAAGTATACGGTCTCCAGCATTTGACAATGACACCATATTCATGGTTCCCTTCCACTAATTCCTATTTACTTGGCTAATTAATTGAATTTTTTTCTTAGCTTTTATGAAGATCATGAATTGATGTTTTCCCCTGTATAATTTCTTGACTTTTGTATTCACCTTTGGATTTTATGTTTGTAGAATACGAGAGAGACTGCTCATGCCCTCAGGAAGTTGCCCTTGGCCAAGGCAAAAAGGTACTTGGAGGATGTCCTTGCCCACAAACAGGCTATTCCATTTAGACGTTTCTGTGGGGGTGTTGGACGAACTGCTCAGGCAAAAAATAGGCACTCAAATGGACAAGGACGCTGGCCTGTTAAATCTGCTAAATTTATACTAGATCTGCTCAAGAATGCAGAGAGTAATGCTGAAGTATGTATAATCATCCTCGCCTGGCACTCATTTTATTTCTTTGAATATCGCTTTGGTACTGACTATGGTAATCTCCCATTCAGGTGAAGGGTCTGGATGTTGATTCTCTCATCATCTCCCACATTCAGGTGAATCAAGCACAGAAGCAAAGACGTCGTACCTACCGAGCTCATGGACGAATTAACCGTATGTTATTTTAGAGCTCAAATAAACCTCTTTGTTATCTCTGGTTAAATCGCTTCATAAACTATGAGATGTCTGATGTTTTGCAGCCTATATGTCATCCCCCTGCCACATCGAGCTTATTTTGTCAGAAAAGGAAGAACCTGTCAAGAAAGAGGTAAATTCTAGTCCATATAGTTCATTGGGTTAACACGCCATTTTATTAATTTTAGGGCTGCTTTTTGAATCTTTGTTTTTCCGTTGGTGATCGTTGCAGCCTGAGACCCAGTTGGCAGCAAGTAAAGCCAAAAGAGGTCAAGTTCTCCGCAGTGGTGCTTCATCTTGATCTATTTTTTATTGTCATTTTTCTTTCCGATAGAGTTGGTTGCTTTCATCAATATAGAATGAGTTGTTCCGTATCTAGTGGCCCCTAACTTTGTAAGTTTACAAAAACGTCGATCTTGTTTTTTAGGAATTCTTTTCTAAATTTTGGATTCTATTCCTTTTAATCGAGGAGTTATAGAAATCAAGACTTATTTTACTTTTATTTTTTAACCAGGGTCCACACCAGGTTTTGCTTCTGATGATATTTTTATCATTTATCAGTTCAGCTGTATAGTCTGATTTTGTTTTGTTCGTTCTTAAAACCAAATTGAATCACATTGCATGTGACAGCGTCGAACTGAATTTTATGGTTCAGTTTTGTTTAAGTAGATCCCTCCATCAGTGCTCGTTTTACGTAATTTTGTGAAGTAAAATTAAATGATAAAAAGAATGGAAACAGAAATTGAATGAATGACCAGGAGATCTAATGATGTGATCTACAAATTACTATTGCATGTAGTGACTTTTTTTTTAGATGAAATTTTCTAATTCCATACCCAAACATTTTGTGGGGCCATATAATTGAACAATGGTTGGAGGCGGGACAAATTATAATACAAATTGGAATTTTCTTGTTATCATTTAAATCTGCGGAGGCAAATGTATTTTTCAATATAGAAGTGAAGGACTTGTGGTATAAATCTGATAAACTCTATTAATAGTCTATTCGATCTATGCTAAGAAAATCAACTTTCTATTTAAATAAAGAAAACGGAATTAATAATAATTTTATAATAATCTCCACTTCAAACTTAAGTTTTGTTTTAAAAGATTTATATGAATGAAGATGTTATTTAGTCTACTTTTAACCGATGATGTATATATGTATCACTTTCTTTTTCTTTTTTGACCTACAAACTTTTGATTGAAAAGCTCGTACATGATGGACCACCATTTTTACTAGGGAAATGTCCATTTTTATTTCTAAATTTAACTTAGACCACAATGGTTCTAATCATTCTCTTAAACTTGAATAAGCATTGATTTTATTTGAATAATAGTTAAATATAATATTCTAATGTGCATTTAATAAATCATAAAATATTTATTTTGAGAGATCTATTTATTGGTCAATCTTGTGTACAAGTCTGACTTGATTTTATAGAAAATTTTGATTTTGATTGAAATTAATGAATTTTGGTGATTTATTTACGTTCATTTTAATTTCAATTGGTGGATATATTAGCGAAATTTGTACAGAAGGTAAAAATTTCAATACTAATTTATGTTCAATTTAATGAAAGGTCGACAGATCTTTTAGAACTATTTTATGGTTATTTTTGAAATTTGAGGATCAGATAAAAATCTATCCCGAACAAAATTGTATTTTACGAAGAAAATTTATTATTTCGATTTACTGTTTATTCGGTCGAGTAGATGAGCGAATTCATCGCACGGCAGAGATTTTACGACTGTAGTCTTGAGGACTGGTAAGGTCATACCGGTCTTCGTCTGATTCCTCAAAGCAATCAACACATTCCTGCGGCTGCAACTCACTTCCTCCGGCGGATCATTCCTCTTTCACATCGTTGTCTGCACATTCGCATTCAGGTAACTGTATTCTTGAATTCAGTTTCAATCGCGTCTTTTTTTAACTTCGTTCATAGCGCGCCTACGATTTCCTTTTTCCCAGTTGTCTAGGGCTCTTCATTATAGTTCAATTTCCCTATGGAGTTCTTTGTAATTTTTCTTTCTTAGCTGTTTTGGCTCGACTATTGATGTTCTACGCCCTCCGCACCGGTTTGGATCTGACGATTATCTTCTGTTTTCCACATTTTAGATGGACTGGCAAGGGCAAAAGTTAGCGGAGCAGATGATGCAGATCGTGTTGGTTGCATCTGCCGTGGCGGCCTTTTGCACAGGCTATAACGTGGGATCGTTTCGGGTGATGATGTTGGTTTACGCTGGCGGTGTGGTTCTCACCACATTAATCACTGTTCCGAATTGGGCTTTCTTCAATCGCCACCAGCTCAAGTGGCTGGATCCTAGCGAGGCTGAAAAATACCCCAAGCCTGAGCCGCCTGTGGTTTTGAAGAAGAAACCTATTAAGAAGTAGGTCAGTTTGACCGATCTTGTTCTTGTATTAGCATACAGTTTGAACCATTGGATGTCTAGTGTCCACAGAATGATGATACATGCACCGTTGTTATGGATTACAATTTTGAAGTTTTAGAGAAAGACAATTATCTTTTATGCCTTTGGCTATTGCTTTTGATTCCTAAATTATCGTGAAGACATCCTAAAAAATTAAACTGATCTGATTTGTCTAGAGGATGGACATTGCTTGTCATCCACACACCAGAATATCCAGGAAGACTTTTCAATTTTACATAATTCAACATTCCTATGCTATTGCTATGTCTTTGGGTCTTCTGTATGTAGCATAAATTATTCCTCAATGGTGAATAGTGGAATATAGCTTGGCTCTGAAGTTAGGCAACATTCTTTTGTAAACTTTGATATTTTTGCCCTCTTTTATGCTCTAGTTTTTGAAGGCTGTATGCAATATGTTTCATGGAAATGTTATTCTAACAATGTTTGAATTGCGAGTTCTTCTTTAGGTTTCTTTTGTGATCCTGTCCAAGGTTTGGAATTGGGGTATGAGGACTTTGGATTCTCATGTGTTTATCTCATAGAATCTGCATAGCTAAACAATGAAATGGTTAATGTGGTGTAAACCAAAGAAGAGAAACTTTATTTTAAATACATGTTAAATTTAGGTTAAATCATTTAACTTTTCAAGTTTTTTTTTTTATTGTGCAAGTAAACCGTTTTTAATGTAAAACGGTTTAAGTGGAACCCGTTTGATTTTGAGTTTGAACAGTTTTGTTTTGGTTTAAATTGAACCAATGAAGAGAAACTTTATTGATGATAATGATTTTTCTTTTACCTTCTAAACACTGGTATTCCAAAACCAACTCCTAAAAAGTGGCTGGATCGAAGTATCTCGGACATTCTCCATCCGCCCGCCAGCAGGAGAGGGGGTTCGAATAGTGCTGCAACTAATAGATGCCTAACTAACCAATTTACCAACTAACAGCTAATATACTAGCAGGCAACCAATTATTCTAGAGTTTACACTACATCATAATGTGTTTCCTTGGTTTCAAATATTACAAGATTGTACAAGTTACCCTCTCTTACACCTGGTGCAAATAGAAAAGTTATAGGTATTTTTGCTATGAGAAACCCCTTTTCTCATGTAATTTTCGTAGCATTGTCAAAAACTTTTATTTTCCTTATTTGGTTTAAATGGAAATTAGCTTTATGCATCTCTTAGGAATTGGTTTATGTACCGGCGGAGTTCTTGTATAGCACAATGGTTAGGACAGGGTCTTGGCTATGATAGTTAAGTTTGACATTAGCAGAGTGAAGACCGAGTAGGCATGACTTCATCATGTTATGATGACCTACCTTCTAATGCTATCATTGGGTTGAGTATTGAATCTTCATTAAAAATGCTTTTCCGATTTTAAATCTTTTGGTGTTCCATGTCATGTTCATATTGGTTTAGAGCATGCTTGTTAAGCTGAGATGAGGTTTTGAACATCTCTTTTCTTTGTTTTTGATATAAGAAACCAGTTACACTGGCTCTAGTGTTTCTATACGTACATGTTACGGTACGTCTTTGGAGCATAAACCAATACTATGGAGAAAAAACCATGAAGTGGAAATATATTCCCTATGTAACCATGCCGATCAGCAGAAGGGCGTTGGTGATGCAATGACTATAACAAGTATTACTTTAGACCTGTAAAAATGAGTCATTTGACACTATTTCATTGACAAGAATGAAGAAAAGACCCTTGCCTTTTGACTATTAAGGAGGACCTCCCTCGCTCTCTCTTGCTCTCTTCTGTGAAGTTTGTTATATTATGATGAATTAATGAAGATGCTCTATTCTGTTTGAATTTTTTGTCTGTGAATGTTTACTCCACGAGCCTCACGAGAGAAGTAGAAACTCGGACTTTGGATAGCAACTCATATGCTTCTTCTTCAGGCTTCCGTTGAATTTGATTTATATGTGATTGTGACGGAGTAAGAGTAGATTGTTTTATGCTAAGAACTCCAAACAGCAGCAAAAGGGCTGATTACTCTGCAACGAAGTTGAAAAAGCAATGTTCTAACCGTTTTGTTCGGCTTTCTCAGTCTCTCTTTTATAAATCTTGAAGCTCGGAATCTTCATTTTCATGCCCGAAAATTTTTATGTCGTAGGATTTAGATTTACGTTGTAGTGCATGGTTCGTTAATCATTTGGTTCTCATGTTAATAGAAATTTCAAAATAGTTTTAAAATATTAATCGGTTTGGAAAACTCTGCATTCTAAATTCATAAATATACGTTTTTTAGTGTCTTTTTACTAACGATTTATTTTGAAGTTATTATTATTATATATATATTTTTTGAATTATGCGTTGAAGATTAATAATTTTGTTATGATGTATAATATTGATTTTTTTTTTTACCAATTATCTGGTCACGATTTTAAAGATTGTTTGGGATCGTTTAAAAAAACAAATTTATGTTTTTCTTCAAAAAGATTTAGAAATAAATGTTTGGATGACTATTTTCTTAAAGGTTATTTGTCTTTATTTTATTGTTGAATTTTGTATACGGTTATAGTGTATATATATATATATATATTGAAGGATATAATAATAATTTCAAGGGATCTTTATAAAACATTTAAAAATTATACTATAATAGAAAATTAGAAAAATACATTGAGGACGTGATTAGACCATCCTTTATTTATTTTTTAAAACAATTTACAAATAAGTCCCAATTTTGTTAAAAATTGAAAATTGAACGGGTCGACCCGACCGAGTTCTGTTCTGCCAAAAGTCGCGGCAAAAGTATTCGCAGTCGCTGCTGCCCTAGACTTCACTTCTGGTCCTCGCTTAAAACTTAAACCCCTTTCCTGTCAAGAAAAGAACAGAGAGAGGCTTTTCGTCGAACTGGAACACTAGTTTCGACTCTCAAATGGCGTTTTCAGTTTAAGAATTTAGGTTTTCTCTCCGACTCTCCCTTGCAAGTACAATGTTCGGAGCTCAACCGTCCTCCTCCGCCTTCGGCACTCCACAATCGACTCCTGCCTTCGGCACTCCGTCGTCCACTCCTGCCTTCGGAACTCCGTCGGCGTCTCCCGCATTTGGAAACCTTTCCTCAACTCCTGCCTTCGGGACTCCGTCTACGTCGACTTTTGGCACCGGCTTCGGATCGTCTCTCTTCTCCACTCCATTCTCTTCTCAGCCTTCACAACAGCCACAGCAGCAGCAGCAATCACCGCTGTTTCAGCAACCGCCCGCCACAGGATTCGGTTTCCAGACTCCGTTTGCCGCGCCTCAGTCCACTCCCTTTCCAAATGCTCAATTGACCACTCAGATGGCTCCGGTGGCGCCGCTTCCTTTCTCCATGGCAGATCGAGATATTCAAGTACGTTCTGAATGTAATCGGCAAGACCTAGCAATATCTCCTTTCTTCTTCTGTATCAGCGCCTATTTATTTTTCTTTCATTGTTTGCATCAGGCAATTGTTGAGGCTTACAAGGACGAGGCAGGAAACCCTAAGTATGCTTTCAAGGTTTGCTTCCCTGTTATAAACTGGCATTTATGTTTTTATTTGTACTTATACTTGAGTGTCGATTATCGTAACGAAGGATATGATTAATTTTCTTATAAGTTCATGGAAGTAATATGCTCATCATTTTACAGTAGATTCTAAATTGACGCTTGTGATGATTTTGCAGCATTTATTGTTCAGTGTAACCGATCCTCAATTTAGGGCTAAGCCTGCTGGTGTATCAGACGTGAGTTCAATATTTCGTGTTTTTTTAAGTCTGAAAATTTTAAATCTATTTCTATGTATTATTTTTCGTTGGATTCTGCACTAAGTTCAGAGAATAGTTTGCATTGCCAGATAATGTGGGCTGAGGCTATGACAAAGCTGGAAGGCATGGAAAGTGCTGATAGAGAGCGATTGTGGCCACAGCTTGTTCAAGGTTTTAAGGATTTATCTCAGCGCTTGAAGGTAATTTTTCAATTTACTGCAAAATGAGGTGTGAAATTCTTTGATTACTTTTTAAGATTCTTGTCTCAGTGCTTGAAGGTTGTGTGTGTCTTCCATGTATATGCTTAGTTCATCATGTTCTATGAGTTTTTAGCATAGCCTTTTGTTATAGATTCAATTTTCTTTTTCATCATTTCCTTCACTGGTGGTGAATTCACAGGTGTGTTGTTCTGCTGCATTAACTAATATTAATCAATTTTTTTTCCTGCATCATGGATCCAATTTGATACTTGGGTTCTGGATATCAGTGGGTGATCTAAAGTTTCATTTGAGAGATGGCACCAGTGACTGTATAATTATATGTTTAGTTCACCTGTTTCACAATATTAAATTAATTTTTATTTTTAACTCAATGATTATATTAGTTATGTTTTATATTAATTATATTTTCTTTTCAATATTGTACTTAATTTTAACTGCTTTAATATTCGTCTATTTCCACAATTTTGTTTGAAATAAATATTTAGTTTAATGATTTTTGACATAAATAATAGTTTTATTTAATTAAATAAAAACAATTGTTTGAGGACTAACTGAATTCTTAAAATTAGGAAAGATTTCAATTTTTGGTGAAATTATGGTTTCAATTATTACGGTGAAGAAAAACTAAATTTAAATCTACAAATCAAGGATTAACATTATTAGAGAATAAAATTCTTATATTGACCAAGATTGTTATCATTTAAAAAAAAAACCAGCAAAATTGTTTTAGATGTTGTATATATTGGACAATTTCAAATTTTCTCGCGGCATATGTGCCGCCTTTGTGCCTGCAGTATATTCGCCCTTGCCGGATGTCATTATGCTGACAAATGCTAATGCATGGCAAGTAGTTATTTCTTTTCCCTTCCATATAATAATAATGGTCCATTTGCTATTGACTTTCAAAACTATGTAAGAAAGGTAAACGGATTTTTAATTATTCAACTCACATAAAATGTCTTGGAGTCATATTTGATAGGATGCCAATTATGTTTTATTCGATGCATCAATGATTGGTGAAACAAATGTGATAGCTTCCTGATAAGTTTTCTGTTTCCATTTATGATTACAAAATTTGGTCTTGCGTAAATATGATTATCTTTCTGTTTGAGTATGTACCGATAGTACGTGTTCGTAGTTGTAATGTGCTGAGCCTGCCTCTGCATGTACTTCCGGTATTCTTTTTTCAAGTAAATGCTCTTGAAAGTTGTGAAATTAAGAATCTGTTTCGTTTCAGTTACTGTTAGTAAAATTATTTTTTAACATCTAAAAAATCCTGACATTAGCTCATTTCTTGAAACTATTTTTTGTGCATACTTTTTTGCCCATTTGAAGCATATATTTTTCTTTGTAATGAACTTGTGTTTGCTGACTTAAATACCCTGGTTTCTTGGACTGACGCTCTAGTGGGGTTAATGTAGATTCAAGATGAAGTCATTCTTTCTGATGCTGAGAGACTGCGGATGACCCAAAGCAATGTCAAAATGGTAGGTTTCTGCTCCATTATTGATAAAATTTAAGTTTTCTTTTCCTGATTGATGTTTGATGCAGCTTCAGAGGCATTTTCTAGCTGACACTCTACCTTGGGTCCAAAGATTGCGGCAGAAGGAGCAAGGTCTACAAAGGCGTCTCTTGAGAGTATGTATTATTTCAGCTAATAAATGAGCAAATATGCAAAAAAGTGCTATGAGTTTGATCTTCTCATCACCCCCCACCTCCCCACCCCCCAAGAAAAAAAAGGTTAATTATGCTTCTTATGCCAAACTGCATCTAAATTAAAGTTTACCTTCTTTTGTTTCCAAATTTAGGTCATGAGAATTGTGGAGGCACTAGAAAGTAAGGGTTGCCGAGTGCCTGTAATGAAAGGGGAGGCTGAATTGGCTGAGAAGTTAGCTTTAATAACGAGGCAGGTGGGTATCCCTCACCCATTTTACTTTTATTGCCAAATAAGACACTAAAGTTCTCTTGGGAAGTTAGTAGGTCATTTCCGTATAGTTTGATCAAATTCAAATTTATCCTTGTTATCAATATAATATGTAAACAATTCCAAAATATAATATGTTCTATAGTTATTTTACTTGTAATGAGTAATTCTAATTTCAAAAATATTTCAAATGTTTAAAGGCCATATTCCTCTTTATCAAGTCAGTGGGGTAAAATATGTTACTTATCCCAAAAGGTTGCATAGAAATAATGTACTTGGACACGTTTCAGTTGAAAGGATCCGGCGCAGAGCTTTCTAGGAGGGTGCAAAATTTGCTCACATTTACTCGTGGTCAAGCAAATGGCTCCAATTCTGGTAATTCCATCTATCTTCAAGGATCAGCAAAAATACACGAGCAGAGTCTTGCCGATATGCAGGAGGTGCGTATAATTTAAGTGTTTGGAGTTTTGCTGGAAAAAAAGTTAACAGGGTGCAATTTTTGATAAATACGTCATGTTATTGTCCAATTTATTATTCAACTTTATTTGCATGTCGTGTGTCAGGTTTTGCAGCAGCAGACCGAGGCCATTGCTAGACTTGGTATTGTTTTAAAGCGAGATGTTAGAGATATGGAAATCATAATGGCTGAAGACAAAGAGATGACAGATGATGCTAGTTAAAAGAAATCAAGTTCAGATTTCTAGTTGATCGTTTTGTTTTGTGATAGATATTTCTTGCTTCATTTTTCTGAAGTAAAAAAAATCCGTGTTCACAAATTATGTACTGCACAAGTAATTTTGCCAAGTGGTGGCCAGCATTTCTTGAAAAACCAGAGTTAGTACTTGGTTAACATTGGGTCAACTTGAACTGATTAATACTTATTCGGTTTGAATTCGATGCAGTGTTAAAAGGAAACTATAATGGGGTTCAGAGGCAGCAAGAACAGTTGCTATGTTGGCATCTGCAAGGCGTCGGATTCATCTTTTTCTTGTCAGGTGAGGTGACTATCCTACTCGTGAAGAATCTCTGAAATCTGTGCGTTTAGGTGGTAGGCTTCTTGTTACGAAAGCTTATGCTAGGGAGGGTAAAAATGTAGTAACTTCTTAAGGTTAGGTATGCTTATATTGAGTAACCTCTTGAGCTAGTCAGGCATGTTTTTGAGTGACTTTAAGAAGGAAGGGCACGCAGACTTGGATGATGTTAAATATTTCAATGGGTTTGGGGGAAAATATAGAGCTAGGAGAAGGATCTGGAATTTCTGCCGAAGATTTACAACAAAAGAATCAAGTAGGTTAGATTATGAAATTTAGAGAAATCAATACCTTAAAGAGAATTTAAAATTATTGCTTTTTCAGTCGTGTGTTCTCTATACCGGATTATTTGATAACCATTTCAATTTTCTCCTTTCAGAACAAAAAAAAGGCTGTTTTATAACTATTTTATTTTAGGCTTTTGGTGTTTCATTCTAGTTTTCAATTCTTTTGTAAAATTGTAAAGTTTTTGAAAGGAACAAAAGTTTAGTAGACTTCTAGTTAGTTAGAAGTAGGATTGAAAAATCTGTAAAAAATTTTAGAAGCTTAATTTATTTGACACTTCTAACCGTTTCTCGGTTTCTCTTCTTTCTTAAAATTCTCTCTTAATGATTTTTTTCTTACATCAATGATAATAATAAACCTCTTCTACCATTTCCCACTAAACGTTATTTAATATGGTATGGATTTTTGTTTTTAAAGATCTTATCAGGTGGAAGATTAATTTTCTATTTTTGAAACTGTAAATGATATTTTTAATTTTTTTCCAAAAAAAATAAAAATTATAAGTATAACCTTCAATTCTTATTATGTTATAGAGATAAAAGGAACTTTTGAAAAGTCATTCTAGAGATTGCATGGATCACAAGAGTGTCGAATACAATTAAAAATTTGAAACTTGAAAAATTGAGTTATTAAACAAACGGTTGTGTCACACACGACAATGCCCTCAAACCCTTCTCGTCGCAAATGGGAAAAAAGTTTGAAACGTTTTAATAAATATGGATAATAAAATGAAATTATGAATGGCTTACCGAGATGAATCCATGGGTTAATTTAAACGTCGATCTATCTCTTCCACGTTATTTACCAAAATGTCTCCTGCATCCAATTCAATTCATGTGCTCCAACTGTTGTTTATAAGTTTTTAGAGTGCAAGAGAAAGGGGATAGGGATACAGTCATCCTAACTTTCTGTATAAGCTTCTGCCATGATCAACAGCACCAGAGACGTCCAACCAGTAAATGGATGCGCACCTTTTCCCTTCCCCGTCTTCTGATTGTACTGTTCCCATATGAATCCACTCTGGTGATAATTTCGAACCACATTTCTGCACCAATAACCAAACAATCTAAGCTTCCTGTACGCAATGAAACAATTAGAAAGAAGTGGTTTGTAGGAGGAAAATACCTAATCAAATTGCTTCTCAACTCATCCCGAATAGTTAGGGCTCTTTCTCTATAGGGTCCATCCTCTGAAATTCGGGTCACGGTAAGGTAATTAAAGCAAAGAAAACGAGGTTCCCATTAGAGTCTAGATAGGAAATGATGGCATTACGGATACCTGTGGCATAATGGTTGAGTGCTGAAAGAATCAAGTAATTCATGTTCATCCAAATGGTACCTCTCCAATAAGGCGCATCATGCTCTGTATTGTGTTTCATGTATAACGAGCTACAGCATGGAGTTTTGGGAGCCAAATTAGTCCATATAATACACAGCAGAATTCATCAGGAATTACAAGTTCTGATATAGTTACCTTGTTTTAGACAGGGAACGGAGCCCGTAATTTGTCCAGAATACACTTCGATTTGAAATAAGATCAAGCTGTTTCCCAAGAATCCAAGATTCCTGTTGGAGAGAGGAAGAGAAAAATTCAAGCCTCTTCAGCACCGGAAAATAAACATGTGAATAATTTCATGTTACTGAAACTTACTGGTGGAATGATCCTCCCCATCAATGGAAAAAGACTGACATAACCGATATGAGGAACCATTCTCAGTGTCGGTGTTTCTAACACTTCCCGGATAAGTTGTCGAGTTGTATATCCCTGCTCTACCATCACCTCTTTCCAAATTAAACGAACCTACATGACATCAATCATTGCATTACAAAACACAAGAATAGACTCTTAACACTCAGTAGCTATATCCTTAATGGAGATGGAAATTTGAAGCCTTTGTGATAATGTTCATTCTGTAATTTCTCAAACAATACCTAATCCATAATAAAGGAACAGCCTCGTAAACTCCTCACAAGCCAAATTCATATGTGGGAAACTAAGAATTTTATCCCTCATATGCATATGGGGTTTTATTTTAGGCTCTTGGGAGGGGGCTCCCTCATCCCCTGCCCCTAGATGGTCTTCGCCTTTTGTGATTAATACATACAAGTTTCTTATTAAAAAAAAAGTACCAAAGACCAAATGAGAAATCATCAAAACAACCGGGAATTACAAGAGTGTTTCCAATTGGCCTACATAGATTAGAAGAAAAAATACAGCAATTCAAAGAATAAAATTCATGCCCCACCCACCCACATATGTAGAGTTGATTTCTAGGATACTACTAAATTACAGTCATATTGCAGAGACAATGAAAATACAGAGATCATACCTTTTCGGTGTGATTTCCGAAATCTAAATAAGTTCCATAAGCATCATCAAAGTGCATCTGATAAGGCATCAATTATAGTCATATTAGAGGTCTAGAGCTTAATATGTATTCCTATATTAAAATGAAATTTGAAAAAAAAAAAAAAGATCGCCTACATAAATACATTTTGAGTTGAAGGAAACCTGAGGAATCCATACAGACGTTATAAAATACATTTCCAGAAGAGATGAAAGTGACAACCAACCTGATTCAGAAGCTCAAAATTCGACAGTGTGTTTGCAGCTAAACTATATACCTGCATCACATAAGTTCATGATAAGTTGAAGAAAAGAAAACCTATGAGATACTAAGTTAATCTCTCTTGACGAATTACCATTCCAACTTCCTTTCCCTTCATAGAAAGCTCAGAAATTGAATGCATGCAATCCGCAGCAAGAAGCATCCAGCATCGGAGGTCCACATGGCGCTCATCCTCACTTGGGTGTGAAGCACGAGGATAATCGTCCAATCCAGACATCAGTGTCTATAAGTGCGAACAATTTGATATCATGTAATACTTTGTTGGTAAGTCTAGCATATTGATAATGCATAGATAAGAGAAATGTCAAAGACACTATTTTGAAGTCTAAGAGAAATATGTTTCTGTAACGTCCTACAGACAAAGAAGTTCACAGAAATTCCCTTATTCTTTTAAAATATTTGATGATTTGCCCTGTGATGAACTCCAATTTTGTTAATAGTTTTGAACATATACAGATGTCCAACAAAATTAACTTAGGCGCATAACTAATCTACTTTAGTTCTCTCTATTCTCTTTACTATTGTATAATTAAACTGAAAATGGTGAATATCAAGCATATGGCTTCATGATTGGCTTCAATCCACTTTTTAATTACAAAGCACTAATCTACTTTGTAATTACAGTTTGTTTGTTTTTTATTATGCAAGATTGGAAAGTTGTAATTGTATAGTCTTTAGGGGAGCGTTCTCTCCACTCTCCGCGTTTAGGTTGTCTCCCCCTTTTTGGGTTTCTTGGTTCTTTGTTTCTTTCGAAAAAAAAAAAAAAATGGACTATTGGCCTTCCCAGCACCATGTACAAATAAGAGTTGTTTTCAAACAAGGATTTCCTTTCACTATCACCACGCCACATACCAGCATGAGAATCTAAATTACCCCAAGTAATTTATAAAGATCAATATATATATTTTTTTCAATAATTGACGATGGAAAAACTAATAATTGGATAGTCGTATTGATAAGGTAAAGATGTACAAGTGATGGAGGGCTCTGTTTACTTCACCAATAGTGTACGACAGAAAAAGAGAGAAGAGTTTAGAATGAAACCTGAGGGTTAAGTTCACGAATTGGTGAGCTGTCTCTTCCATGCCAGTAATAGCTGCTTTCCTCTTTTCCTGTGTTCCTCACACACGCACATACATATATCTTGATTAAAAAAAGATATGTTCTCATGCATAGTGAAAGAACCATTGAGTGGCCGACTACCTTCCTAAAAATAAATAGAACTTGCAAAAACAAAAGGCACATGTATGCAGACACCTGGCTGTGTAGTATTGAACCACTGGAACCAAGCTTCCAAGCGGACAAAAGCTCTTTCTAAGAATGAAGATATCTTTGAGCTCTCTTTGGCCGTAAATGCATTTCTCTTTAGGCCATGGACTAACTCTACAAGAAGAAACAAATCAAATCACCACATAGCGACTAAGATTTAACCAAAGTTTTTTATAACTTATGTTACAGATCACAATTATATGCTACTACCATAATAAAGTAAGTTCATCTTTACTGGTGAACAAGATTATATACAAAAGCAGAAAATGTAGAGCTTGTAAAAGTTTAAAACCACCACATCACTTACGCATGCTCAGATTTCTGTATACAATCAAGTGTATATGGGAGTGTTTGGCGAAATGCAGAAGATATATGATTTCAAGAAATAAACTCTCATCAAATGTAGTGGCAAGGATTGGTAGCAAACTCATCGTCTCTAAGGATTCTTAAAAGTTCCTCATATTGGACCTTCGATTAATGTTCATCAACATTTGTTGTTTCTTATTTATATAAACAAAGAAGAAAGAAGTAATTCAGAGCTTCGTGCATAATCTACAATACAATATATCTTTCATGTAGCAGATATATAAGGAGCATTCTGCATTGTAAACAACTTTCTTTTCCTCCATCAGAAATACAAGTGAAAATTACAGGGGTGAAACTCTAATTACATCTTACTAT